ATTGTTTTGCAGTACAATAGCCTCGTGGTTGGTTTGTGTTGTAACCTAGAAAGGGTTACTGAATGAGGAAGAACCAAAATGAAGATTCGAAATGAAATGGTAATCTATATAACATCAACAAAATACAATACTCGCCAGTGGCGTGAAGTAGGTAAATCACTGTTAGTGGTGAACTACTTAGCATATTATCCCCACTTACAATAGTGTCAAATGTATTTATGAGGATTGGGGCATACCCATTAGTGTTCATGGGTACAGAATATAACATATGAATTTGGTGAAATATTGTGAATTTGGTGACATAGTAATTGTGAGTTCAATCCCTGGGCCAAGTAGTGTGATCTTTGGACTCTGTGGGAACACAGCAAGCACTGAGTAGTACTAAAAATAAGAAGACAAGATATCTACAGACATGGAGATTGGAATGAGAACAGTCTACCCCCCCCCCCCAGATTAAATAAAGGGTTCAGTTAAGAATTCCTTGTAGATTATCTGGATTGATGTACATATGAGGAAGGCTGGAGAGCACAATGCTTGACAACCACTACAGATTGTATCAACAACTTTTATTATTATTATTTTGGATTTAGGCATGTATCAATGGATAATCTGTCGTCTTAGAAATGTATGTGTAATGTGGACAAAAAGATGAAAAACAACATGATTAAATAGATTATCGGAAATCGGAAAGAAAAGGATGTTTTGCTATGACAAGAAGAAAATATATCTGAATTTCTCGTGAGGAATTATCATTATTTGCATTTATTGTTGGTATTCTTGCAATATCTCATTGAATTATTTGCAGGATAGTAGCCTAGTAGATGAAAGCGTTGGTTTGTTTAATCCACTAGGGTATTGTCTAGTCCAGTGTTTCTCAGCCTTTTTAAGCAATGGCACATCTAGGAGCAAATAAAAATATCCTAGCACACTTAGGAGCAAATAAAAATATCCTGGCACACCTAACAATATTTGTAAAGGGTAGACATTTGAATGTTACAAACTAAAAACAATAGATTTTTAAAAAAATACACAAATAAATATGAACTTACTTTATTTCAATGTTTCTATTCAACTATTTGTGCAGCTTATTTAGTGTGAAATCTGTGCCTAGTGTTTTTTTTTCGTCATTTCTTCCAATGTTTGGTTGAATGTGTGATGAGCAGACCCTCATTTCTTCTTCAGCATAATCTTTCTAGCTTCTTATTTGTAAAGGATGTTACACAGAATAACGAAAACCTAAAAATGGTGTTGCGATATTGTGCAAACCAGCTGGGAAAAGTTTTATCAAAATCAGTTCACACAGAAAACTGATAAATCCTAAATTTCACTCCCAAGCTATTAGGTGTTGTTCAAGGTATTGTATCATATATATGTGTGTGTGTGTGTGTATGCCATGAGAAAAATATTACGCAGCACACCAGTGTGCCTTGGCACATTGTTTGAGAATCCCTGGTCTAGTCAATTTGCTGACAGTGATTGTGATTTTCTTCTCTCGGCTGAGCAGTGTATACTTGGACTTTGTGGAAATTGAATGAACAATAACTGAGCTGTGATAGGTCAAAACAAGATGAGATGCCCCCCCCCTAGATCTCAGCAGAATGAGAACAATCTACTCCTGCTATTAAATAAAGGGTTTGGTACAAAATTTCTTGAAGGTTACACAGATTGACAAGCGTCTGATGAAGGCCTGAGGCACAACAACCGAAACGTTGTGCTAACAACAGCAAATCCGGCTACATTTGCAATCTCAACCTGATTGGTTTGTCAGCAGGGTCACTTCTTGATGTTATCAACCTGGGGTGGGGGGGATTCCAGTATGCGGCACCTTTGGAAACTGTCTTGAAACCATATTACGGGTTGACTCGATGATTGTGTGTTAAATTGGGCTGACAAATGTTCATCAGTGGTTGTGCTAGCATGAAGTAACAAGTCATTGTGACTGAGTGTTTGAATGTACTGACCTTGTTCGAACTGTTGGCCATACCAGATGATGCATTCTCTCCCAGAAGCTGAAACCAAGTCCCACTCTTTATATTTAGTTGAAATATAAACCACAGGTAGAGTCTATGCATGTTGAACAAATGCAAATCTGCCTGAGCAGACATCAGCAACAGGGATTGACTAGATCCCCTAGCAGACGAGCATATTCAACAATAAGCAGCCAGTTATTATGCATCCGATGTTGTGTGTATGCATTGGCAGTGATAACCAGTATTGCATGAGTTAAATCCCTTTTTTCTTTTCTGCTTTACTAAGTTGTTATTTCTTTGAAGCATTTGCATATGGCATTAGTGAAATAAATTGTTTCAGTTGATTTAACATGTTTAAACATTTTGGCAGTAGTTAAACATTTCAGGTATGAGATGTTCTTTTATCTATATAGTACTAAAAGTCTGTGAGTGTGTACGTGCTTGTGGGCTTGCATGGTGCATCTGTTCATTTGTTTATGTAGGAAGTATTTTTATTTTAATTTTCTTCAAACAGACAAATTTTTTTTTTTAAATATTTTTTTAGTTAAAGACAGACACAAAGAGAACCCACTTTGCTGTTTCAATCATTTTTTAGAGTATTTATATTTCAGCTTTCTTTAAACAAACAATGTTTTAAACATGTAAAAAATATTTTTCAGCATATTTAAAAAAATATTTTCAAGTCAGGATTTAAAGTTCAAGTTTATCCCAAAAGTTCTATTCCTATTAAATGCTGTAAACAATCAATAAAGCGTTAAACCTGAACTTGTAGACCAGACTAATGATGACATGAATGAATTGAAATATTTAACTGAATCATAATAAAATTAACTTTCATTTCAATGGTATGTTAAAATCAACTTCAGTGTTTTATAATCTGAACCATCAGTGACCCAATAGGTCACAGGTAGTCTAGTAATCTATATTTGTTAGATTTTTCAAAATATACTATATATACTCAAGTATAGTGTGAGTTTTTTTTTTAATGAATTTCTCATGCAATAAAATAGTGGGGGTTGCACTATACACAGGTAATTTTTTTGAAAAGGTTAATCATGCATTTTTGGTCACTGGTTGTACTATACACAGGTAATTTCTTTTCTAGAGTGGGGTTAAAATTCAATCATTTTGGTGACCATAATCTCCCTGTCAGGCCTACATTCTCATGGTACCTTTGGCTAACCTTAACAGTACAGGTAAGCACTTTTAGCCCGCACTTCTCTTCCAACTATGCCTACCTGTTTGTCTTACCCCTGTTTGTGCATTATCTAAATCTTCATATCAGATATTTTATGGTAAGTAGTTTTCCTCACTATTCTGAGGTAGCTTTATACAAAAAAGAATTAAGACCATTTATTTGCTATTAAAAGTGTTCAGGATGATTGACCAGTACTGTAATATTTGACTACAGTAGGCATACTAGTATTGATCAGAAGTTGGGGTCTCATTATAGACAAACTATATGAAAAAAGATAGGTTTTTCACAAAAAAATTCAGGGGTCACAGTACATGAACTTAGCTTATACATGAGTAAAGACTGTCAGTATTACTTACCTCCCTTTATTCTCAAGCTATGATCTAAATGCTAAGTTGGTCACCATTTTAAGTATAGAAAATGGCTTTATTTAAATGACAAAGCAACTTTACAAATAAGCATTTGTTTTAATGATGGCTTTTATAATTAAGATTGCAACAGACTAGATTGGAAAGTAAAAACAAAATAGTTATTTTTTTATTTAAAAGGTGGATATGCAAATCAGTTATCTTTGTTAAGAAAGTACTGATAAGTTGGGCAAGAATAAAACATGCGAGTGAATTTAAGTAAGACTGCATTTATTTGATGTTACAGTTTTACATAAGATTTATACACCTGGAGAGATAACAAATTATGGTTAATTTTCAGGGTTTTTGAATACCCAGCTTTATAAGTCAATCGTTTAAAACAAGGTTTCCTGGTTTGGTTATCTAATACACCTCCTTCTTTGTGTAGAATTTGAGCAACAATTATGCTTTTTGTACAAAGAGGAGGATCATCGATAAGAACAAAAAATGATTTATACATTAAAGATGTTTCCCTCTGGTATTTTTTTGAAAAAGTCATTTTGTACCAAGCAAGGCAATAAAGCCACTAAGATACGAGAGGTTATGGAGTGTGAAAATATCTAACATCATTAAGGAGAGAGAGAGGGGGAGCAATAAAAGAATAAGAATGCAGAAGACAATGATTGACATTGCATTTAAACTTCTGAAGATCTGTTGGTTGGAAAGCAAGAAGATGGAAGAGAGTTCCACAAGGGACAAGTGTGAGAGAAGAAACTGTTAGCATAGAACTTAGAGTTGCATCTAGTCATTTTGTTGTAAAATGATGAGATCTTGTCACCAATCTCGTACTGCACTCAAAATCATAGAGTTTAGGTGTCATAGAGGAGAGTTCACCAGAAAAATTACCATGAAAGAATTTATAGAAAAGGCACAGGGGAAAGTGACTAAAGCTGAGATGCCAGATCAGACTTAATGACATTGCAGATTCTTCAATAATCAAGCATCTCTGTAAATATCTACCAGGATCACCAGACCACATGTGTCAGCAATATTCTAAGTATGGACAAATAGTAGACTTGTCAGTATGTAGGATAATAAGTTAAAACTTAGAGTAAGAATTTACTCTATTACCTGTAATAATTGTCACGAAGAATACATTGGAGAAACCTCAAGGAATTTAAATAAAAGATTATATGAATACAAAAGTGATGTTTTACAAAGCAACATATTAAATGCATTAGTTGCTCACCATAATGTCGAACTATAATTTTTATTTAAAAAATGCTACTTTAATGAAAAGAGAAAACAATTAAGACGAAAATGTATAGAAAGTGCTTTAATCGCTAAATCCACAGTAAATTTATGCTCAGGTTCTTCCAACATTTCACCTTGCCTGTCAGATTTTCTATTATCACAATGTGAAATTCTTAATAACAAAAGTGATGAAAACATGAACAAAAAGAAAAAGAAACTAAATGAAATCATTAGATTATATACTCAAAATATATTAACAAAAAATTTAATCTATCTATCTATCTATCTATCTATCTATCTATCTATCTATCTATCTATCTATCATGTTGATACAAATTGTTAACCCTTACGCTCCTTATTGAAGTAATTGCTTCAGCCGTTTCTATAGTAATGAATTTTACGAATGAATATGCTTATAAAGATGCGTAAATTTCAAGATTAGTTATTCCGAAATTTTCGCTTGAGGATGAAACAGAACTTGATATTTTAATTCAATTTAATTTTAATAATTATATTGAGGTTTTTGGCTCCCGTTTTTGAAACATGAGAACTCTTATGTAGCGAAGGGATCATATTTTTAAAAAAATAATTATAATTTAGATTCTACTTATGTATTGAGCACTGTTTTTTTTTTTTTTTTTTTTAAATAGAAATACTAAAGAACTTCGGATTATTTACCTAACGTGTTCTTTCCTATTTTTTATATATATTTGCACACACACACACACACATATGCGCGCATTCACTCACATATATATATAGAGAGAAAACGAGAGAATACAAGTATAAGGTTTGTCACCTAGATGGTTGATGTTACCTTCATTATCCTGACTCCAGAGTTTCATAGGCAGACCCTTCGGGATTCACACCGTCCACTCGTCAGTGAGGATGTATCAGCAATTGATTGCTTATACTTCTCGATTTTTTTATATACACTTTTCATGGGTGCATCTTTTTTTTATTTTTCATAGTGTATGTCTACTAAAACAATGTGGGAGATTTAATAACAAAAGTGATAAAAACATAAAGAAAAAGAAAGTAAATGGCTTGACTATATTCCTCAAAGCATATATTAAAAAAATAAAAGTTAAATTGCAAAGTTTAAAATTTTAGCGTCACCTTCCCCTTTGTGCACATGTGTAGTTACTTCAACATAAGTATCCCCTTTCCTTTTTCTTTGAAATCCTGAAGGACAAAACATGTCATATGTAATTTTCCCCCACTTTGTTATTAATTTTCCTTACACTTAAATTGTTCGCATATATAAAAATTATATAATTTCTCTCATATAATGTGAGTGTGTGTGTGTGTGTGAAATTTCAAATATAACTAAAATATATCTGTAAACGGACAGTACAAATAAAGACAATGCAAAATGTTGGAAAGCAAAAGGAAATGTGAAAGAGAGTTCCCCTGTTTTTAACATTTATTGCTGCATTAAAAATAATTTCTAATATACAGAATTTAAAAAAAAAATAATAAAGTAAAAAGAATAAATAAATAAAAAATAAACACTAAAGATTTTCAGTTCTTCACGTCAACAACAAACACTTTAAGAAATCATGACAACTTACGGATAATAAAGAAATGGAATCTGTGGAGAGCCATAATCAACCACACATCCTGAAGGGCATTAAAAAAAAAAAACTGAGACTGATAGTTTCCTTCTGAAGTTAACTTCAATTCTATACTTCTAACATCTCCGCCTGAACTCTGAAATTTTATTTACTAATTTTTTTATTTTTTATTTTATGTCATTTTTTTTCTTCTCAGTACAAGTAGCCCGCTTCACATTTTTCTCGGTACAAGTAGATAGGTTCGCCTATCACCTGGTTTACACTTCTCGGCCTATTGAACAGGAGTAGAGGTTTATCCCTTGTTTCCTGTTTAGGATTGGGTTTCCGGTTCCTTCTAAAGTCTTTTCATTCTGTTTCACTCCCAGTAGCCCCTTGCGTCTTAGTGGCATTATTACCTTGCTTGGGGTGAATTCATAAAAAAAATATAATTTATTAATATGTTAAATATTAATATTTGTTATTTTATTATATGTTTACCGTGGCCCAATAGACAGAAGTTTATTTGAAAGCTCTATTTACTTAAATAAAGTAATTAAATGTTCTTAGTTCTGTACAAAATGTATGGACAGATTTACTTTATGAAAGACAGCCTAATGTGTTTGTGAGTTTGTAGCCAAGGGCTTAGTCGGCAGTTGCTGGTTATTCCCTTCTATTGTGTGCATGGACAAGGTCTTAGTTGGCGGCTGCTGACTATCGTCTTTTCCATGGTGAGCGTGTGTGCATGCCCGTGCGCGCTCGTGTGCGTGTGTGTGTGTGTGTGTGTGTACGTACACAAAGTAGAATAACCGCCCTTTTGGTAAACCGTTTTTGCGTGTACGAAGGTTGAGAATTACCGTACGTTAAATAATCCAAGGGAAGTAACTTTAGATGACATTTAACTAAAATTCGCTTATCTTCTTTGTAAGCGAAAATTATAATCTGTAATATTATGAGAATTCTTCATTCGATTCTTTGGCTAATATCCAGCATTTCATCCTGATTTAAAACAGTTCAAAGTGCCTTTTTAAAATAAATATATTTCGCATTTGAATTTATTTCATAAATTGAAATGCGAAATATATTTCACAACTGTATTAATAAAATTTCATCCATGAATTTGGGCCTTTTATTGTCCTCAATAACGTATTTTCAATTTCTTTCACCGTCAGTAATCTCTTGTGTTTTAGTGGCTTTGTTGCCTTGCTTGGGGTGAAATGATTAAAATCACTGTTTTATTCGAAAAGCCATAAATTAGAAAAATTAATTTTAATTAGATTCAATAATTTATTACACTTTATTTTAAATGTAAAAAACTTATACCCGTTTTTCTCTCTCCCTTGGTACGATAACTGATATGAATTTAAATTATATGTATAATATGCTGATATTTTGAATTCAAATGTTGCTAAGCAGGTATTTCTGTTTAGAAGAGAAGTCGACGAAAACAGCAAAACAATGATGAATATTTGAAGCCTATCGCGGTTTAGTGATCTTTGAAATGAGCTCAGGTAAGTTTTTCCATTAGCACTTTTACCTGTATATGATGATATTCTGGAACAACAAAGAATATCCACAATAAAGAATCGATTTGCAAAAGTATTTCAACTGAAATCTTTTAAGGGAGATAATTTAATCAAATATTAATGAGCGTTAGAAGTTATTTGCATTCTTAGAGAAAATAAGAAAATAACATCCAAGGGAATTCACTCTTATTTATATTTGATTGAATTATCTCCCTTAAAATGTTTCCATTGAAATACTTTTGCAAATCGATTACGCTTCTTAATTTTTCAAGGGAGATAATTAAATCAGGTATAAATCAGAGTTAATTCCCTTGAAAATTATTTTGCTCTGACTTTTTCTTCTGCATTTAACTGTTCAAACAAGAAAAGTTTAAAAATTTATTTGGTAATGGCCAGATTTTGGGAAGTCAGGCAGGTGTAGACCCTTTCGTCACCCTCTCGTATGTATGTATTTGTATGCATATACGTGTTTCTGTAACAATATTTATATGTGCGTCTCAAAAAATCTAAAAATGTTTTGTGTTTGGAAATAACCTGAAAAAGGTTGATAAGCCGTAAAAAAACAATGAATCGACCAAATATTTAAAGAACAATACATATCAAACTTTGAGGATCTTTTGAAGAAATATTGTAACAAAGAAATCGGGAACTTTCCACACCCAGTTTACTTAGGCTAGCACGCACGTGGCGGAATTCTAAGCCGACAAGTGGACATGTATTTCCCTAATGATCTTCCTTTCCCTAGCTAGTACAATTGTAAATGTAATCACCCGGGGAAAATATTTTTTTTTGTTTGTTTGGTAGAATTCAAAGGGAATTATTTATTAAAATTTGTTGGAATCCCCACAAAATGTCACTGCGTAAAGCTATAATGAGCAATTTGCTCGTTAGAATTACACATTATGACAAAAAAGAAGATACATCTGTTATCTTGCTGCTTGATGCCGCCAGATCTTAATCTGCAAATACAACGCAACAAAGGATCATAGAATTGATATGGAAAGTTCTTCCATTTTTGCTACCTTCCCTGTCAAAATATCTCTAGTGTCATTCGATGAAACGTTACTTCTGTGGCTTCGTGAAACATTTTGATTATTGAACTACAAATTTCAGACTGAATTTATATGAATAAAAGTTTTCGTCAAAAATCTTTGAAAAATATTCATTAATCTTGTGTAAGAAGAAAAACTCCGAATTCGTTTAAAATATATATTCTTTATATCAGGAATAGATAGGTTCACCTTACCCCGGTCTTTTGAATGGGAGTAGAGGTCTATCCATTGTTTCCATTTTAAGATTGGGTTTCTGGCTCCTTTTAAAGTTTGCTTCAACTCTATACTTCTAATGTCTCCGTTTAAAACTCTGAACTTTTGCTTTACTTTTTCTTTTCTCAATAAGAGTAGGTAGGTTCGTTTATTGTCTGGTTCACGCTTCTCACCGGTCTTTGAATAGGAGTAGATGTTTATCCCTTGTTTCCTGTTTAGGATTGGATTTCCGGTTCCTTCTAAAGCCTTTTCGGTATTGCTTTCGCATGTGTCCTATCGATCAGTTTCTGCTTTAGTGTGTATCCTACCTCCATATTTGTATCCTACATTATTAAAGCATTGTCCCAACTTTTTTCTCGATATGTCAAAAGACATTCAGAATATTTTTATTTAAAGGATCTTGTTTTATGATTTTTTTTCGTATTTTATAATTTTTGTTTTATTTGAAATTTTATAATACAACAATAAATGGCATCCCTTCTTCCGTCTCTGCTTTCCTCCTTACGTTAAATAATGTAGAATACAAATATGGCGGTAGGATATAATGATTGGTAAGGACACACACTAAAGCGACACCGCCTTTTCTTTCTTTTTCACTCCCGGTGGTCGCATGCGTCTTGGTGGCATTATCTCGTTGCTTAGGGAGATGCCACTTACCCTGTAACCCTCTACAGGGTGAGCATCAATGTTAAAAAAAAAAAGAAAAAAAAATAGTCACGGGCTGTGATACCCGCCCCCCCTTTTTTTTTTACAAGAAAGCAAAACGAAGAAAAACATAACCTTTCAACCTTTCTCTTAACCTAAACGCGAAATAATATATAATAATATCTCCTGTCGTCGTAGTGCCAGCCGCTTTCTTAGACATGCAGCAATAAAATAAATAAAGAGGTCTGGATGCAGCTGGCTCGAACGTGGTGATGGAAAGCAGCCGAATAGGATTAAAGAAGGGGAAAATTGTTGATTTGGGATGCGATCTGTGCCGATAC